AAGCTCCCTCATATGACCCGGATACAAAGTCTTATATTGTAGAATAGAATTGTGGTGTTATGAAAAAGAAGAAAACATCCAGGCTGGCCGGTTAGCTCAGGTAGTTAGAGCATGGTGTTAAGGTCAAGGGTGCCGATCCCCAAACGGGTCAGCCCCCGCCACCCCCTCAAAAAGGAAAGCATTCAATCTCTCCAATCTCTTACCTCATTTTAAAGCATGCTTTCCACTAAACAACTTGCATGTACTAGTGTACTTCGAAGAGTTCGTGGAAAAATTGAATTGAAAGATAGTACAAATCCTTTTTTCCACAAACTTTTAAAAGTAGCCTTGTATTAATAAGCATAGAAATTATTAAAGCCTAGTAAAGCCTAGCTGGATTTCTTTTTTCTTTCTTTCTAATTGTCATTGTTTGTGCACTTTTTTTTTTTTTTTTTTTTAAGTAAAGTGGCTCAGGTACTCACTAAAAAGTTCTCACTATTTAATGCTGGCATGACAAATCACCCTTATCACTGTTACTTAAGCCAGGAGTTGCCTCCTATTGAGAAATGGAAATGTGCATGGCCATAAAAATGTGCACTTTTATTCCAGCTTTCTTCTCAATTTTTCTAACCCTGGGATCAAAGATGTCACTTTGGCCACATGCTCACAAAGAAAAGAGGACCAGGACTCAGTGGCTTAACCCTGTAGCACTAACCTAAGCAGGGTAGGAAGGGGCCAATTGTGGTCAGCTTCACCTGACTCCTGCTCATTTCCTCAGAGTTTGAGGGGAGGACACATGAGAAACTTCAGAGTTTTGCAGACATTTGAAGGAAAAAAATGGTAACTTTTCCTTCCATCAAAGGAAACTTTTATGAAAATGAAAAAGTCAACTTTGGAGAGAATGACTGTGAATAAAAGGGTACTTTAAGTTCATGGAAAAATAGAATTAAAAGATGGTACAAATCTTTCTGTAAACTTTTTGAAGTTCCCTCATATAATAGGGACCCCTAAGTGGAAGTCACATGTAACTCTTCAGAACTTCAAGTATAGCACTTGGAATAAACAACAGAAAAGCCACATTGTGGTTTTTGTTGATAACATTAGAAGAAACATAATATATATAAAATAAAATAAATTTTGTGTGCAAATTGAAGAAAAGTGGTTATTAATAGTTTGAACACTAAGTGAGTCAGATACTAAAAGTGATTGACGCTCCTTGTCATTGACAGAACTGAATTCTAGCTCTTGGCCAGACTGGTGACCCTCATTATCAAAGACTTGTGTGTGCAAGAGCCTAATAGAGCCGCATAAACCATATGGAAGACAGATGGAGGAAAATAAAGGGCTGCAATAAAAGTATACAGCAGCATTTTTATGCTCTTGAGCACCCCTTTTAGGGAGGTGGAGCCATATGGGGCAGGGTGGAGCCATATGGTGGCCCTCCACATGGCCCTGGTGGCAGTGAGGAGGAAAGGGTACATAGGAGGAAATAAATGCTCCTGGAGGCTGGATTAACCTGTTCTGGATTCTTATGTTCCTACGTTCCCGTACCCACCAGAGGCTGGGGAAGATAACCAAGCAGGAGATGGCAGTAATTTCTCATCTCTTTTCCACAAAAGCCACTTAATTGAGAAAATGTAGGTGCAGGACCCCACAGAGGAGGCCTTCTATATTCCCGTAGGATAATCAACAGAAGTGATTACTAATTGATGTTAGCATGCAAGTGGAAAATGTTTACTGAATTGAATGGAATAGGAAGGAAAATGCCAGGGCTATTGAGGTAAGGCATTTATGTTGCTACTTGAATCAAGAATGGAATAGAAAACAGCCATACAGTATCACCAAATCAAGCTGAGTTTTAAATGCAAAAATAATTTAGAGATACCGAAAAGCATTATTGAGGTAAGGCATTTATGTTGCTACTTGAATCAAGAATGGAATAGAAAACAGCCATACAATATCACCAAATCAAGCTGAGTTTTAAATGCAAAAATAATTTAGAGATACCGAAAAGCATTAATGTTTTTTCTAAATGATTTGATCCATACACATCTACCATATGTATTTTCATAATCCCATAGGTGCATACCGTATTTTCATAATCCCTAGGTGAATACCTTTCTCCTGGGAGTACCAGGCAAAAAGAGTCATCCAGTGGTGTCTGTGGAATGAAGGAACACATGAATGAATGAGTGAATTTTCAAATATAGAAGATGAATGGGAAATACTGACAAGAAACAAGTAAACCAACCAAGTTCTTGGATCTTCCTCTGTAGCCAGCTTTGAAATCTTCACTAATCTATGATAATCTCCCTTTTGTTTGCCGATTAGCAATAACGCTCCCAAACCAGCAGCAATGAAATTCATTGTAATCTAAATTTTTCAACATTTCTTCCTTTGTCCCTTAATTCTTCATTGTATAAAATGGAAAAGCTATTTGAGTTTGGTAACTGGATATTTATTTGTGAACTCGGAAAGTGATCGAAGCTGTTTTCAAAGATTTCTTTTGAGGTTCAGGTTCTGACTTGAAAATTTTTGAAATGTTAGAGAAAATCAAGCAGTTTCTGCAGCTCTATTTTTCATCTTCCCAGAAATAGGGCAGACATCATTGGGCATTCCCAGTCTGGGAGAATTATAAGGAAGGCAAGAAAAAAACAAGGAGTTGTGAGCGGAAGGGTTGCAGGGGTGGAGGAGCTAGTCTGGACCCCACCAGCCCTGCTCTGTTGTGGTTTGCAGTGTTTACTGCTCCTGTCCAGCCTATCCCTGGATAGGATAAAGTATGTTTTGCTTAGAGATGCTGCTATTGGGCATAATGATTTCTGTTTCAAAGCAGGGGGAAAACTGTGTATCAGATGGATTAGATAGAGAAAAACCTTCTTATGGATTTTTCTTTCTGAATCTGCGTTATGATGGATTACCTTGGGGAAAACACAGGAAGAAATACATTATTTCACATTTCCTTATTCTTAATTCATTTTTTCAAAGAAAATGCACCTATGATTACAGGTCTTCAAGAA